TATCCCACTTCTCTTTATATATCCTATAGGTTTTTAATTTTTAGAGTATTTTACAAGTTGCTTAGATTTGTCTTAAACTTGGTACTGCTTGATAAGCCTCTCCCATATTGGTAGAATTTCAGATTTGCACACTAGGAATGCCCCTCTCATTTTTTCTTAAAGAATTATTCTCATAAACATTGTGCTCATTGATGTTAATATTTTTCTATTTGACTCTCTAAACTTTTTAAAAATAGTTATTTAGTGGTCTTTGAGTAATTCATAAGTATCGGTATCCTAATGTTAAATTCTTAATGTTTTTTTTGTTTGTTTGTTTTGTTTTTTTGTCATTTGGATTTATCCATGCTTCTATTTGTTTATATTTGCTGTATTATTTTTTATTTGTTCATTAAAGGAGCCATCAGTAGATTATATAGTCCATTTTCAGAAATAAAAGTATAAAAACTTTTAAATAATAAAAATAGGCAAGAACAGTGCTGCATCCTTCTAATATTTGCTAACTGGGAGACCATGCAAAAGTACTTCATGTTTGAGAGAAGTCACAGAAATTTAGAAACAGCATGGCTCTAACAATTTTAAAAAGACTTTTGTTGTTGTTCGTGATATAGAATTTTTGGGGTAATCTCTAGCATTACACATGAAACATTAAATGTTGGATGACCTAAAGATCCAGAATTGTCAGAACTAAATATGTATCCATGAACAATTAAATCAGAAAATTGAAGAGATACCTCTGCTTTTGTGTTTAGTGCAAACATTTTTCTCATTATTAAAGCTAGGGACTCAATGTGTGTGCCAACCAATGTCAAATGTGTAAAATATGTACTTATATACTACTATTATTTAGTTATAAAAATATTTTGTCTCTTAAAGTCTTATAAGAAATATATGCAGGACATTGAAATAAGTGAAAGGTGGCAGGCAGGTATTAAGTTGTAGGAGCATTTGATTCACATGTGGAAGTCAGAAATTCAGTGAGCAAAATTTTGTGAGCAGGTACTGTGTTTTGTGTAGGGTTGATATTATAGTCAAAGTCTCCATATTTTTATTTTATTGAGCATAATAGGTTCAAGAGTTTTATTTTACCACATAGTGAGTTTATTATGTTCTTCATAAATATTAGTGGAAGGAATACAATACCTTGTAAGTACAAAATTGATAATTATATGAAATAATGATTGTGTTAATGCATTCTATTTAGTCATTTTACCTTGTATATATAGTATAAAATACCATGATATATTTATACAAAAACAAAGTTGGATTTGTCAATAAAGGAAATTCTCATATCACACCAATAAAAATATAATAATCAATTTATTATACTTGATTGTCATGTGTTGAATTCATCAAAATATTATGGCCATACATTATGCAATGTTTTTATAGTCTTAAAATGTTTTATGAAAAATTTTATAGACATATATGTGTATATTTCTTAGTAAATTTTTGTTCATATTTCTTGTTAAGGGTCCATTGCCTTTTGACCCTTGTTGAATATTTATGGTATTATCACTCAAAAATCTACTAATTATTTTCATGTCTCTACTTCATGGTAGACAAAAACCATTTTTTGGACACTCTTTGAAAAAGCCAGAATGTTTGTATATGTTTTACATTTCTCTTATTCTACTGACAGTAAAGGTAGCTGGTAGATATTTCCTAAATACACAATACTCTCTTATAAAGGACAAAAGTCTGTTAATAATACTTTTCTAAATTTTATTATATTATTCTACTTAATGATGTACTCCTCTTGGATACTGTGGTCACCACAAAAATTTGGGTAATATTCTCAAGGTAATTTTTCTGAACATTTTTATTGAACTAATATATTTTTTGGATTTATGGTGATTTTGAACTTACTAATCTGCTACACTCCTGATGTACTTWTTTTACCTTAATTACATGTTATGTATGCCAAATATATATTCACCTAGTCTAATAGGTGTTGTTTTTTAATTTTTTTTATTTCAGCCATGACTCCTAATCATACCCAAGAATATTCACCAGAAAAGTGCCTAAAACATATATTTCATGAAGTGATAAGTGCAAAATATACAATTTGTGATCTTGACTATTTACCACAAAAGAAAATATGGAAAACCACAAGTGAGAGTGAACACCAGAAGTCATATAAAAAATCAGGCCTTGTTCACCACCAGAGAATTTATACTGGAGAGAAGCCTTACAAATATAAAAAAAGTTGCAAAGCTGTTAGTAAAAAAAAAGGTCTTATTTACCAAAGAGTAACCCACAATAAAGAGAAGCTCTACAATTGTAAAGAATGTGCCAAAGCTTTTGGTAAAAAATCACAAATTATTTGCTACAGCAGTACTCACACTGGAGAGAAGCCCTACAAATGTAAAGATTGTGGCAAAGCTTTTGAGAAAAAATCATACCTTATTTGCCACAGCAGAACACACACTGGAGAGAAGCCCTACAAATGTAAAGATTGTGGCAAAGCTTTTGGTCAAAAATCACACCTTATTCGCCACAGTAGAACTCACACTGGAGAGAAGCCTTACAAATGTAAAGCTTGTGGGAAAGCTTTTGTTCAAAAATCAGGCCTTATTAACCACAGCAGAAATCACACTGGAGAGAAGCCCTACAAATGTAAAGAATGTGGCAAAGCTTTTGCTCGAAAATCAAACCTTATTTTCCACAGCAGATATCACACTGGAGAGAAGCCTTACAAATGTAAAGA